GATTTTCTATAAACTTGAGTTTCTATGGGTTTCTATGGGTTGTTCGCTTGACTAAGACGTCGACAAAAATTGGATTTTGTCCTCGGATTCCTCTTCTCTTGTGAATTTGATGTCGTTGAAGACGTTGTTGTTTGAAGAAGTTGTGAGTTTTATCTAACTCGTTTCTTTTGATCATTACAAATGTGTCGTCGACGTAGCGTATCCAAATCTCGGGTTTGATCTTTGGTCGAATTATGTTTTCGTGTCTTTGCATCACTGCTTCTACAATCAAACCTGATATTGGCGATCCCATGGGTGTTCCTTTGACTTATTCACATATTTGGCTGTTGAATTGGAAGTATGTTGTTAGGCATAGATTGATGCATTCCATCCAGCTTGTGTGTTGCATTTTTGATTGTTGTGGAAGTTGTTCGTCGTTGCTAAGTAATTCCTTCATGGTTTCTTTTGCTAGTTTTTGTCCGATAGAGGTATATAATGCTGTCACGTCGAAGGATACCATTATTTCTTATTCATCTATTTGGATGCCTCTGATTTTCTCTAGGAATTGGATAGCAGAGTTGATGGAGTGATCACAAGATTCCGTTAGGTGTTTTAGTTTTCTGTATAATTCTTTGGATAAATTATAAGTTGGAGTTCCTGGGAGTGATACAATTGGTCGTAACGGGATATTTGCCTTGTGTATTTTGGGTCTGCCGTAGAATCGAGGTAGGACTGGTCCGTTGGATTTCATTCGCCATTGGTCTTGTTTTGTGATCTGTCCAGTTTTGGTAAGCTTGTTTAAGGTCCTTTGAATCATTACTCAAATCGTCAAACTTGAACGAGGAAACACAGGAAGAGATACGCCAAACAATTGTAGCAATGGTCAAACAGAAAAGACAACACACACAACTCAACGCTCAAGAAATAAAGGCCCTCAAAAAGCTGAAAAATAGGAAGGACATCGTCATTCTACCAGCCGACAGAGGAAGAACAACAGTAGTCATGGACAGAGAAGAATACACCAAGAAAGCTGAAGAACTACTCAAAGATGAGGATGTATATCAGCAACTCCCAACAAATCCCATACAAACATTGGATAACCGCATCCAAAATAATATTAATGATAATAATAGTACGAAAAAATTATGATCCTGGTGACCTTATAGTGGGCCAGGGTAGACAAGGAGAGTGAATAAGTTTTTTCTGTACACATAGATCTGGTCTCTCTCTATTAATCTCTAAAGCCTCAGCTATGGCTAGGAGGCGTAATCGTGTGACTTTGGGGAGATTGTTCGGTACTCGATACACAACTGTGAATGACTCATCTACTCTGATGTTGTGTTCGCTATCCACTAGATGAGACAGAATTGCACTATTTTATGATTTGGTTGCTCTCTTCCCAAGCCAAACAGGAATATGTTCACGAGTGCGTAAAGATAAATTCCTTTGGGTACGACCGATATAACTAGCGTCACAGAGCAGTTGACACTTGTATTCTCTTAACTATAAAACAACACTATATCACCCAACTGTTCATTCACACATTTCATCACACTTTTTCTGACTATACACTCTATACACATTTGTTTGACTATATTAACTAATGGACTATCATCTCAACATACACGTGCATTCCAATACAGTTTCTAATATTATTTTCATTTGCCTTTATTGTTTGTCGGTAGCACAGTGGTTAGGACTCTCGCCAACCTTGCACATGGTTCGGGTTCGATCCCCTGCCGACGCACACACGATATCTATGGTCGGTCTGCGAATTTTGGCTACCAATATCACATTCTGAAAATTCCATATCTGTACCAAAAATTCCGGTGTGGAATCAAGCTGTAATAAAAGAAAAAAATATGTACTCTATTAATCACGGATTTATAACTGTAGAGCCTGAAGAAGAAGTTATCGAAACCACAATTGTTCGCTCAAAATCTTGTTTTAATGTCAATATGGGGATTTTTCATTTACTAAACGACATTGAATACAATGTTCAAATATATACATAGCATTCTGTTGCTTGTGCAACACTGAACTATGGCAATAATATTCAGACGATAACACCAACAAATATACAATGATTCTTACTGTGAGAATAATATTCCGTTGGAACCCATTGTCTCTATCATACCACCACAATGTGTAAAATATGGACTGAGCGATTCCTAGTGCCACTTAACACCTTTTACCATAGTATAAATACCACTGGAATGGAAGCTTGAAAATGAATTCGTTGAATAGAAATAGTATTTCTTCGCTGAACAAAAACCGTTCAAGCGTTAGTTTACAGGATTTCACTATGAGATCAGTTGGTGAAGTAAATCAAATCTCTGAAAAACAACACTTGAATATCAATCTAATGGATAAAACTCACAACTTCTTCAAACAACAACGCCTTCAACGACATCAAATTCACAAGAGAAGAGGAATCCGAGAACAAAATCCAATTTTGTCGACGTCTTAGTCAAGCGAACAACCCATAGAAACCCATAGAAACTCAAGTTTATAGAAAATCAACTCACACAGACCAAATCCTGAATTACAATAGCAACAGTCCAATAACACACAAAAGGAATTGCACACAAACACTATTCAAGAGGGTCAGCCAGGACTCATTGCAGGAATCCTACCTTAAGGAAAATTGGATAAAAGTATCTCATGGACGTCTGTTTTCCAAAAGAATGGACATCCACGGAATTTCATCAGAAAACATATACTCCAAGCCAACCTATAAAACAAAAAGCCCCCAAAGAAAGCACAGAGAAATTTGCCCCACCATATATAATGGACATCTCTGAAATCATCTCAAAACTCTTCAAACCTTTAGGAATTGACGTCGAACACAAACCAACAAAATCACTTCACTCAACTGGCTGTGTATCAATCAAAAGACTCAACAACGAAAGAAGATAAAACCAACATCATCTACAAAATACATTGTAACAACTGAGAAAAACACTACGTATTCTTATCCATGATCATAAGTTAGCCGTCAAAAGACATGACAACCACTCCCTCATATCATTCACTGCATACAGACAACCACGGACATCAATTCGACTGGGACAACGTTCAAATATTAGACAGAGGAGAGAACACCAAGAATGCTAGAGAATTTTTAGAAGACTGCTTGGTATTCCAGTGATTCATCGATCAATAGACACATCGACATAGACAAAATTTACCAGCCGATAAGAAGGAAATCTCATACGTAGACGGTCGAAGTTCAAGTTAAGGAAACAATCAGTTCCAATACAAGTAGCCTTCACTTCAAATTGAAGTATGTACTGAAGATGTTGCCTAGTGGTGAGGCAATGAAAGCTTCGCAAATAAACCATCCAGCTAACTGAGAGAACACAACCATATCAAAATCTAATGAACACTAGCGACTGACCCTATTCACCTAGGTAGCTATTTACCTGGGTCTTTGTGGTTTTGGGAATTCATGACTAGTTGAGTACAGCAGGTGATTGGGGGCGTGAGGACTCCCCAGTGGTGACACGCCTCGTGATCGCACTAATATGGTCAATCGTCAGGAGTTGTAATTTATGAGCTGGCTACTTGATCGGGTCCCAGTGGCTGATGAATGATCTACGAACTCGCCTTCTAACCGGAAGGTGCTTAGTCCAAACCATGGTGTAGTGGTGGATGCGTACTCCTGAAGAGTCCCAAACTAGGATACTTGGGAGTAGTCGGCTGTCCAGTACTCCCTGGTGGGTTTTCCAACGGTTCTTTAATCGATACCAACTCACAGTGAAATCCTCGGATAAAAACTTTATCTTTCCTAATGAAACAACAATTCTTGATAGTGTGAAATATTCCCATGTTATGTTTTAAAAGTCAATCTGAACGAAGAATATTCTTTTCAATAACTTCTCGTCTTCAGGTTCTCACAATTATAAAATATAATATTTGTGGTCGTTGCAATAAAGACCAGTTATGCGGCGGATACATTTTTAACGTGGAATAACAGATTAGTAGTTATGGGGTGTCAAAAGAAATAGTCGTATTTGTGTGACAAACATCGTGCTAGGTTGAAATCGATTAGAAAATATTGTAAAACTGGGGACAATGGTGGTGATTAGTCATAATAAATTTGTAGAGTGTGGGGTAGGAAAATTGACAAATCAGTTCAAGGTTATAAAAGGTGTCAGGTCATTGAGTGGCTAGTACAAAGTGGTCTATCTTAAACAGGGGATAGTAAGACTGCAGTGAGAGGTTCATAATGATATAACGAATATGTGAAGTGAAACAGGTGGAGGCTTATGTTGAGAAAACAGATAATATCACTAATAATAAGTCCGGATAGTATAAATGAAAAATTCGATAGTATTGAGGGAATGTTTGCATAAAGGGCATAAATTATGATAAACATTCCCTCAATACTATCGAATTTTTCATTTATACTATCCGGACTTATTATTAGTGATATTATCTGTTTTCTCAACATAAGCCTCCACCTGTTTCACTTCACATATTCGTTATATCATTATGAACCTCTCACTGCAGTCTTACTATCCCCTGTTTAAGATAGACCACTTTGTACTAGCCACTCACCTAACACCTTCGATAACCTTGAACTGATTTGTCAATTTTCCTACCCCACACTCTACAAATCTATTATGACTAATCACCACCATTGCCTCCCATTTTACAATATTTTCTAATCGATTTCAGCCTAGCACGATGTTTGTCACACAAATATGACTATTTCTTTTGACACGCCATAACTACTAATCTGTTATTCCACGTTAAAAATGTATCCGCCGCATAACTGGTCTTTATTGCAACGACCACAAATATTATATTTTATAATTGTGAGAACCTGAAGACGAGAAGTTATTGAAAAGAATATTCTTCGTTCAGATTGACTTTTAATTCAAAATAAAAAGTCGTTTGACGAAAGAATTCAAACAAAAAATGTTTATTATTTCTAATCATAAAGAAAAATACTAGTAAACAACAATTTTGTATGTCTGTGTGCGTGTATGTATGTATGTATGTCTGTGTATGTATCAAGGTAAATTTTGTTGAACATAACCTTCATTGGTTATCAATGAATCTAATTCTTGAAGTTCACTTTCATTTGTCTGTCTGTAGTATGCTGGTAAATTAGTATAATGTTCATATTTATTGACAAGTAAACGTGTTAAACGCAAATAAAATTCTGGACTATAAGGTGTATAATCCATGTATACCCTTGATTCTGTTAGATAACCAGACCATTTGAAAGGTTTGGCTGGTTCTATTTGTGTACCTTCATGCCATTCATTAAAAGATACTATGCCTATACCATCTGGTTGACTATTCAATGCTTGATTGAATACTCTAACATAAGTATCTCCAGATTCACGTTCTTTACTGGCTGCACCATTCCATGGACGAACTGATAAATCATGATAACCTGGACCAACACTGGGATAAAAGCCAACCTTGTATTCTGAACATTGTTGCTTTAAATTACTCCATACATCAGGAGAACTAAAAGGCAGAGAATTAAGTGAGGGGGATTGAATAGAGTATCAAATAAAACGTATCGAGGTAATCAAGTAATATAATTAAACGACACAATACAGGTTTGTGTGCGTCGGTGGCACAGCGGTTATGACTGTCGCCGATCATGTACATGGTCCGGGGTTTGATCCCTTGCCGACGCACATTTGATATCTATGGTCGGCCTGCGAAATTTGGGCTACCGATATCACATACTGAAAATTCCATACCTGTACCAAAAACCATGGTGTGAAAACAAGCTGTAATAAAAATAAATAATAATTATTGTTCCCATAGATTCCGAGTGGAACATAAGGCATCAACAGCACATCTTCAATTTGTTCTAGTTTTTGCTCTCCTCTTTAGCTAGCTTCACGATCGGCTATCGTCTCTCATCTCCTACTCTTCCCATGATATACCTTTCACCCTCGAATCAATTCACAACTGATCGTTTCCCATCTCGGTTCCAATATAGCTATGACCCGCCAGCACAATATCATTCGACTGTCTTCTCAGAGTATGCCCAATCCATTTCCATATTCTCTGGGATCTTCCATATTAGTTTATTTATTAGATGTATCACATAGTGAAACAGTATTATTTACTGGATTTAACAAGGCAGAAATAAAAGTGACCGGCATTCAAACCCACAAACTCAATTAGAAACAAGTCTTGTCGGTTAAAGGATCAATCCTGACAGTGGAGCCTTTGAAACAAAACAATTTAGTTTATCTAATACCCTACCTGCAATGATTGTCAAGTCAAAATACATAGGTCAAACTAGTAGAACAAGCGCAGTCAGACTAGCCGAACATAAAAATCTAGCAAAATCTAGATTGGTTGATCCAAATAAGATAAGAAATCTAGAGAATAGTTCAGCTATAGCACTACATGCAGTTACACACAACCATACAATAGGATGGGATAGGATGACAGTTTTAAAATATAATATCACAGGGTATAGGGTGAGATTGATAACAGAAGCTTTGTTTATCGAATCAACTGCAAACACGTGTAATAGGAATGAGTAAACACCTGTCCCAAATATCTGGAAAATTCTACTACTCCTACGACGACAAATAGGAGAGAACAAAGAAAACCATAAAACTCAAGTTTCAAAGTTGTGTGATTACAATTGATTTGATTATGACCAACAAATTTTTTTGGAAACTGTGTCATCCAGTAAATAATGCTGTTTTACTCTGAGTGTGATACATCTAATAAACAAACTAATATGGAATTACTTAACACCACAGTGCCCAAGTTTTACACATATATTACTCTGGGATCTTCGTTGATTGGCTCTCACAGTTTATTGTTGTCAGTTCCTTCTGACAGGCTATTTGATCTCCAATATGGAGCCAGCAAAGGCAGATGTTGGCTGTTGGAAATGTTTTCCGTGACGCGCACTCCAAGTTTCTGATACGTCTAGACGAAGTGACTTCACATCTGTTTTGAAAATTCAAACCTTGTTCTTTATGCTGACTGAATGGAGAAGGTTTCCAAACTGATTTCAAGTTTATGAAGGCGCATATTGCCTTCCCGATTCTGACTGGATATGACATCTTCATCAGTGCTCTCCGCCTGTCTGTAGTTGAAGCCGCGCTTCTTTGCCAGATGAGTGAAGGAAGTAATCTCTGTCAGATCTCTCCTGTTGGTAGTGATTGGTGCACGTTATTGCTGTCAGTTGGTTGGTTGGTTGGCTATCTTCACCATCTCGATCTTCTCTATGTTCATCTGGAGTCCTGTCTTCGGTGCCAGCTTCCTAAGCCGAATTGTCAGTTTCCACCAATAAGTTTTTGAGTTTGTGTATTAGACGTATAAGACTCAATGATGAGGTAATTGAAATGTCTTTAAGTCTGTGAACACATGTTTAGTGTTCGTAGAAATGGGTGACAGAACCACCTCTTCTCAGTATTACTCTTATATGTTAGAATGATCTGTTAAGATTTTGAACAATAATGAAAAAACAAAACACGTAGTTCAGCCAAGAGTCTGTTTTTGGAGATGAATTCATTCACTTAGCTAGCTGTACAATCGCAATTATATATACTTATTTCTTGTATATGTGTGTACAGCAGGTTGGTCCGATGAGAATAAAAATAAATTAGGGTTATTATTGTCAAGACATTTCAAAAATGTGATGAACAATCAAAGTGTAACTAGTGGTGGGAAGAGGTAAAAAGTTTGCTAAGAGGGAACTGGTGATGTGTCGTCAAAAGAACATATTTAATAACACATTAAAAAAAGAAGTTGAATAAGCGTAATACAGATATTTAATGAGATGAATAGTTTAGTGAAAGAGTGGTAATTGGGCTGAGCATAGTAACAAAAGAAAAATATATTTTCCACTACCATCCATGTGAAGTTAGTGCTACTATACAGATCAGAGACTTGGCACCGCGTCATGAAGGGCACTTGGAACAAACTATACACCTTCATCAACAGCTGTCTTCGCTCACTACTACTAAAGATCAGATGGCCAGAACAGAACAGTAACAGGAAGGGGGATCTCTGGCAATGAACGAATCAACCAAGCAGAAACCAGTTGTACAACGAATATGCAGGTGGATTGGTCATACTCTGAGGAAACCATCAAGTGACAGGCCCTCGAGTGGAACCCGAATGGTAAGCGGTAAGTTGGTCGTCAGTGCGAGGATGACATGGAGGGGGTCATGTGAAGAGCAGATAAAAAAGAAATCTGAATAAAGCAAGAAGAATGATAATTTTCACAGAATAAAATGGTTCCATCGTCGTTTATTCCGCTGGCTTCTCATCAGCTCAGCTGCTTACAGGCCAAAGTCATTACTAAGCATATCTACAGAACAAATTTTAACATACTTGCACAGACAGTTCACTTTTAAACAAAAATGAATCAATCAATATATGCATACAGCAATAATATATGTAATCATAATAAATACTTTATCCCGAACAATAATGATCATACACAATGGAAACTTCCTGTTATGTACTCGTCGCCAATATGTTATGGTTTCGTTGTCGATATTATGATGTGACCGAGTGTAAATATGCACTAATGAGATATAACGGATGATAACGTACAGACTGGTACAGCTGAGTACTTAATTTGTCCTGACGCGTAGGTGGCAAATCAGAAGATCATCACGTTCACAACAATACGTGTATTTTCCAATAAGGAAAATTAACTGTCACACAAGAGTTTGTGAGTGGAAAAGTACTAAAGAGTACGAAAGGTGTGAAAATGTGCGAATTAACTGTACAATACAAGAGTATATGTGGAAGTGACTAACGTACATAGACCAATAAGATAGACAGTAGTTTTTCTTACCACCACTGGATTCTGATTGGTCGTAATATCATGTGACAAAAAAGTCATACAATGTTTATTAAGTTAATGGACAGACAAAGCATATTGTGAGTTATAATGGAATAGCGATCAATAGACCCATAGTAAAATATATCAGACTGTTAACACAAAGCAGACATCATGTGACTACATATCACTTTCGGCATTACGTAATCAAATGAAAGAGAAGTGACAATATCCAGTTACCAGGGCAAAGAAAGACTGATAACTGCTTTTTTCCTGAACGCATAAATCAGGTTTCAGACATTTGATGAAGATGGCTTCTGTGAACTTGGGGAGAATTGAAGTCTTTTGCTTATTAACAATTTTAAACGATCTTGAGACGTCCACCTCATGACCCGTGTCAAGCATAAGATAACTGGCCTGGTAACTGGATATTTTCACCTCTCTTTCATCTGATTGCATGATGTCGAAAGTTTCCATTGTGTATGATCATTATTGTTCGGAACAGTTTAATATTATTATCTATATTATTATTGTATGCATATACTGATTGATTAATTTTTGTTTTAAAAATGAACTGTCTGTGCAAGTATATTAAAATTGGTTCTGTAGATATACTCAATAATGACTTTGGCCTGTAAGCAGCTGAGCTGATGAGAAGCCAGCGGAATACACGATGATGGTACCATTTGATTCTGTAAAAACTATCATTGTTCTTGCTTTATTCAAAGTCATTAAGGGGAATCAACGTATAAAAGAAGTCTAGTCATAGATTAATCTCACTGTCCTACCTGGCTTCAGATATTTTATGACCAACGAAATAAGTATAACCACCGTTGAATCCAGATTCAGAAAGGCTTTTACAATCATCTTTTCGAGTAATAATCCAATTAAATATGTATCATATGGTTTGCCTCTTATACTTGTGGCTTCTTCACCAGGCTGTAGAATCTAAAATAAATCAATAATGAACAGAAATAATAATAATAATTTTTAACTGGTTAATATAATGGGATTTGAATTATTAAGTTTGTGCACAATTACACCGAATTCTTTCAATGATTTTGGAAGTGTAATTAATGTCCACCAACAAACACACAGCGACGGCATCGAAATCCTGTACGAAGCTCTGTATATGACTTCTACTTCTAGGTCATAGGAGAATAAATTGTTCTGATTGGTTGACAATGGGCTGAAGGTCAAGCAAACTGTCCAATGAGGTTGTTTCGTATCTACAACGTAAACTTAATCCAAACTTTTACCTCTACAGTTAGCCATTGACTTAAAGTGTTGATTTCACCTTTGACCACTTCCTATCAGTCTGCATCAGGGTACAAAATTACTGAACAGCTATTTTTGTCTTAGTCAGCTGCATCTCAGCAATGCGTACACGGTAATTAATTCCCTAGAATTATTAGCCTACAGCTTTCATGACTGTTTAACATTGGATGACGACCTACACTGTTTCAGTCAGCTGCTTTAAACTGAAGATAAGCAGCGATGCAACTTCGCTAATCAACAAACTATTGTGTTACGTCAGATTATTCATGCACCAATCACAACTTCAACATGGGTGGTCCAAATATTTATTTCGTATTTTGGATGTTATCACTATTATTCTGCTTTGTTGCGTCGGTGGCACAGTGGTTAGGACTCTCGCCGACCATGCACATGGTCCGGGGTTCGAGCCCACGCCGACACACACTTGATATCTATGGTTGGCCTGCGAATTTTGGGCCACCGATATCCACGCTGAAAATTCCATACTTGTACCAAAAATACGGTGTGGAATCAAGCTGTAATCAAAAAATAAATAAAAAATAAAAAATTGTTGGCAGCCTGCCTGTTTAAAACGTTAATGCCTTCATCATTATATGGCATCTTCTTTCTCTTCATGTCCATGCTGAAATGACTTCTTCTTCGGACATTCAGAAAAGGCAGTTTCTAAAAATTCCTGCTTCGATGTCACCTTTTAGTGTCAGGTTCACATGAAGAAAGTTTTCTTAGAAACAGTTGTGATTTTTTGGAGATGGAGGCTGTTCCTTCATGTTTTTGTCCATGAGTCTCAGTGCCTAGCCGTTCCTCTAGTAGGGTTTCACGCAATAGATTGAATTCACTCTCTATCGTGTCTTTCGAAAGGATTTTTCAAATCCTGTAACATAATGTACATACTAGGTCTTGCTCTTTTAGATCAGTGGGATGAAACTCTGGAAGTCGATAAACTGTCCAGTCCATGTTGGTTTCCGATATATTGGTCTGTGAATCGTGTAGTCTTGCCTTCTAATTTCGAATTGGTCAATCGTTCTAGATTATGCCTTACATTACACGCAATATCCTTTCGAAAGCAAATTTTACCAGTATGTGATTGGTCAACTTATGAATTATTTGCTAAATATAATTACGACTGTACGACAGCTTGTGAAAATGAATCGTCAGAAAGAAATTGCTGTCTACGTCTTTTCCTTATAACTGAATAAATGAGATACTTATGACACACCCTTAATTCTAATTTCCACCTCATTTCAAGTCAACACAAATAATAGTGGTTCCTAAGGCATCAGATGTAAGTAAACTTTCATATGACATAACTGATGAGTGATCTACAGGAAGTCATTAACTGAGAGCTATTCATTCCTCCTGTTCCTAAATTAGCGAATAACTACTGTTGCGTATTTGCTCCTTATTACTATGGACAACACTACTTTACATTAAGGCTAACACTGAAAACTCAAAGATTTATAGACCTTAAAAGGAATTCATGCTCTAGTCGAATTGTAGATTGATATGTTCTTCATATAAGTATAAAACTTGGGCACTATGGTAGAGTATAACTCCATTATGGATAAGATTTTATTTTGATAAATCACACAGTGTTGTACAGTAATATTGACTGATACTGTACAACCCTGTGTGATTTATCAAAATAAAATCTTATCCATAATGAAGTAATATGTTCTTCCGCTTAACTAATAAACACATGGAGAGCATACAGAGTGTTTTCATCTGACAACTGTGATGACAACCAGTGGTATCCGTCAACGATGCCCACTGTCTCCATTTCTGTTTAATTTTATCCCAGATATACGCACTAATGCACTTAACCCTAACTGACTTCAGTGACTCACAAGTTGACTTTTTACCAGGAAATAATAGTCTCGTTGATTTAGAATATGCAGATGATATAGTCCTCCACCCTAGGTGAGGACACTCGGTGATAAAATGATGAGTCTCCTGAACACCTTAAGGAGGAGCAATCTTTGGATGTTTGGCATGCAGTTTGCTCCCCATGTTAAATACAAGAGGATGCTAGCTACAGGATTGCACTGAACTACATTGACTCCTTTGTTAAAGATGTTCAGGAGTGAAATGGTTGGTGGAGCGTGTTGACGACGACTACTGCATTTATTTGGGGAGTTTCATCAGCCGGTGCCAATGGGCTGATTGCTGACGAGAACTCAGCATGGATACAGAAGGCTCGTCCGGCAGTTATGAGATAACTTGCGCCATCTCTCTTTTGGTAGACGTGATATCCGGCTGACTATCGATTAAAGGACATGTATGCTGCTTAGCAGTTGGCCCCGTTCTACTTGTTTGCTGTGAATCATGGAAGATACGAAAAGATTACGCGTCTTTGATCATAGGTGCTTGCAGTCTACATCCCATATTAGGTGATGCAACAGGGTAAACAGTATTGAAGTTAAACGTCGAATTTTAGGTAAGGAAGGAAAATCAATCAACAACATAATGAAGCTGCAAAGATCGGGATATTTAGGACATGTATTACGCATTTCTAGCCATCGCCTTCCTCGACGGCAAATGTTAGCCATAGACATAGGATGGATCAGGTTGTAAAAGAGCCAACGGTGATCAAACCAAATTATGGCTTCATCAGTCAATGAAATTCACAACGGTTAGTTTAAGCCATGTAGAGAGATTTAAGCTTCCTGGTTGGGGTCGTCGGAACTGTAAAAAGCAATGACTGTAGACGATTGGTGATATGGCCCAAAATCGTTCTCAATGGCTGACGCAGATGCATCCACTTCTTGTGACTTATAATTTCCAATAAAACTATATTGTTCTTCCATATTTTTTATTCTTTTTGCCTCATATCTCTGTTTACTGACTCCATTTTGCATTTCTTTTTACTTTCTTCCCTTGCTTTGTGTGCTACACTGAGAGAGGTTGGCAGCTCGAAATGGTGCACATCTTTGGAGAGTACTATGTTGAAACCAGTTAGTCAATTCTGATGAATGATAAGTGAAAATCTTGATGAAACTGAGACCCAGTCATCAGTTATGGCATTTATTAACTTGACTGTCATATTTCCAAACAGTCAGTCATCCAGAATTTAAGAGGAAAAAGAAAAGTCTCATTCAATGCACATATGAAATAAACATATGGTTTTTTAAAATTATAAAGTGTTATTTTGAGGCATTTGACTGGTTACAGGTTTGATCACAAGCTTATATCATTTGGAGAACTAATGGAAAACCAGGCAGTATTCGACAACTGTTCCACATTCTAGTTGGTGACTCTTCAGTGGCGCGCACCCACCGAGGTTCGAATCTAGGACGTTTTAGGTTAAACGACAAGCTTGTAGACTATTCAACTATTGGGGCTTAATCAAAATGGTTCATTAATTTCAAATTCTGTCAATCCTGTAGCCATTCAAACTCCTACAAACCAGTACCCTGATGCTCACTAGCGACTGGCTCTAAAAAGGTTACCTGGGAAGTCGTACCTAGTGAGGTCCACCATATCAGGCGGGAGGACAATTACTTACCCGTGGCATTGGCTGACAGTTGCGCTAAATGTAGCAAATTGACGGAATTTGGAATTCATGAACTATTAGGTACAGTCCTTAGGAGTTGAATGGTCTACGAGCTTGCCTTGTAACCTGAAGATTCTCGGTTCGAACTTTTAGTAGGCTGGTCATATCAAAGTGTCACAAACTTAGGCCAAATAGGTTTCTAGAATTTCCTATCTTTTCAGAAAATGGTTCTCCAACTGATGTTTTTCTTGTGATGGTAGAGTTAAATTGAATGCGTAAAATAGTTACAAAAAGTTATTAAAGCAGTTTAATTTCCCACGGTTAGGGCTGCAGAACACATTCCTAATTGGCTGCATAAACTAATAAAATCACCTGATTCGAATCAACCTGGAAACACATGCCATACTTCATCTATCGCAAAGCAAATCATATAAATGGGTCATAAAGTTGGTTCCAACAGGGCATTCCGAATAATGTCTTTTACGCTGAGTACAGAAGATTTGTAGACTGATTTCAGAGTGATGAAGGTCTGTACTGCTTTTCCGAATCTGGGTGGCTTTGACATCCCTATTCATTCCTCCAGCTTGTAGGTGAAAAGATGCTACCTAGATAAGTGAAGGAAGTAACCTCTTTCAATTTTCCTCCGTTGACAATGATTGGTGCTTGATGTTGTTGTTGTTGCTATTGGTTGGTTGTCTTCAACACTTCCATCTTCGTCATGTTCACGTTAATTCCTATCTTCACTGCCAACCTTTCCTCACAACTTGTTGCTTTCTGCCTGTATATCTTCGAATTTGTGTGACATGAGACATAAATCCTTCGCCAAGTCCAGATCTTTTAGAGCCTTTTTATCGGTCCAACATATTTCTGACTTCCTGTTCCCCAAAGTCTGTTGTATAATCCAGTCCACCATAATTAGGAATACTATCGTATGTGTTTAAAGGCAGTCTTGTCTTACTATTGTATTCACATAGAACGTTTCGCCGAGTTTTCTGTTGTGGATCACCTGATATGTGGCAGCGATTGCTAAAGATTTTGGCATTGCACTGTGTAATGGTGAAGTAATTTCCAAATTACAATTGCCAATGTGTGATACGTACAACAGATCAATAAATACAGAACCGAAGATCGAACGGCTTGTATCACATTCACACCATGGAATATTTATGTAGAAAACTGTTACACATAACCCAAGATATATCATAATAAGTATGAATAAAGTTGACATGGCGAATCATATTGGGTTTCTTGTATGGTGACTGGCAGTGGAATCCCGAAGTTGGTAAAGCTCAGCCCTATTTGGGACTCGTCATATGAAACTGCCTGCATTCAAAATGAGTGATTGTACTCGAACCCAGTACCCATTGTTTCAAACTCCGACGAGTGATGCCCTAGACCACTTCGGTCGCGAGAACCATCTCTTGCGCAGTGAGCACCTAGATTCTACTGTTAGTCACCATCATCCATCAAATTCCTTCAAGTTAATCTTCAGACATTGTTGAAGCATCCGTACTAGAAGCCCAGATGCCAATAGAGACCGAACATTTCATTCCAACCATTCAAAGCGAAAACCAGAGTTGAAATTTAGAAAAAAACTTAAGTTTTTAAGTATTAACTAACTTGTTTCCATTGTGATGGCTTTATTCTATAAGAATCATACACATAAACCACCGGTAAAGTGACGCTTGGATTGGTATCAGACTCAACAAGAACACGATAATACGCTGGATGAGATGTGTATCCTTTCGTATGTATATACTTTAAATCTCTGACAATTGTGCTGATATCTCGTTTCGCATAAGGTTCCAAATGTAAACAAATCTGTACAAATAAAAGAAAAAAAACCAAAGTGGCATGATATAAAATCTCTGAGTTCCAAACTATGAAATGCAACAAGCAGTAGCCTACTTAATATGTATTAAAGTAGTAAGCAAAGAAATACAAAATTAATTCATGAAACACATATTGACGTTTTTTGGAATTCTATATAACTTGGAACCGACAGAGATATTAGGCTATGAAGTCCACTCCAGTAGCTGAATATGAACGTACGTAAAGGCAGCTGGGACTAGACAGCCTTAATTATTATGTCAGAGTGTATTTTATTTGTCATCGATACACTGACAGCTGTGTATTATTGAAATACTGTCCGATTACTTTCGACGTAGAAATTTGCACTGATGTACAGCAGTTGAGCCGCCACACTTCACCCAGCACACAGAGCCAGAGAAGAAATGCAAAATGGAGACAGTAAACAGGGATACGAGACGAAAGGAATAGCAATAACGAAGAACAATATAGTTCCATTGAGTATTATGAGTCACAAGAAATGGATGCATCTGCGTCTGCCATTGAGAACGATTTTGAGCCATATTACCAATTGTCCCCAGACCAAATTGATGTTGACCGTTCCGAGGACCCCAAACAGTCAGTCAGGAAGTCTACAGCTTGCTGCGTGGCTGGCTTAAATGAACTGTGGTGGGTTCTGTTGACTGATGAGGCCATATCTTGGTTCGACCACCACCAAATCTTTTCCAACCTGATCCTATGTCAGCTAACATTGCCCACTGTCGAGGAAGGCGATGGCTAGGCATGCGTAACACATATCCTAACCACTTAAATCGATGTAACTTCACAGCCTCATCTATTGATTTCCCCTCTTTATCTGGCACTCGACCGATGCCTCACCTCAATATTGCTTCCCCTATTATACCATTTCATACGTGAGATAGAACGTATGAACCTATGATCAAAGACAGTTACCCTTCTTATGTCTTCCACCTTCGATGGCCCGGTCTCACAGCCATAGAGGAGGATGGAGTAGACTACCAATATCCACGCTGAAAATTCCGCAATTGTACCAAAAATACGGTGTGGAATCAAGCTGTAATCAAAAATAAAATAAAAATAAATACTAAGCAGTACATTACATTGGTGGTTTCTGTTACTGCCCTGATGGTGTGCGTGTTATTGTCCTCGGAAGTTGTGCGGACATTCAGTGTCAACGTCTTACTAACATTTTTAGTTTTTCTTTTCCTAGTAGTGTTGTCTCGATATCCAAATCATGTATTGGTATGAATGTTAAATCCACACCTACTGCCATCATTTCTAGTTTTTTGAAATTAGTGGAAAAATGACTTTTACTCAACGTTGGACCTTCCGTGAAAAGTTTCAGTTACCCTAAAAAATTTACATATAAACAGAGTAGATGTACTTTATATGTGGCTGCTCCTCTGTTTAGACAGGGGAGCTAAATATGTTCACTGTTCTTTCCTAGACTACACATTCGCCTTTGACTCTGTTTCCAGATGTCTTTTGTTATGTAAGCTTTCCATGAAACAGGCTGAGTCCTGGAATGTTAATTGGTTGCACTCTTACTTCTTAAAAACAGTGCAGTTTACTGGATATAAAGGTAAACCTTCTTCTGCCTTGCTTGCTGAAGTTAATGTCCTTCAAGGTGATGTTCTTACTCCTCGGTGTTTTTCTTTCTTTTTCTATGACTTGCCTTGTTTGGAAGAAATCAACTTTGTTAAATGTGCTGATGACTGGACTGTTTTGTTGGCAATTACTTCCTGAGCAGACTGTTCCAAACTGACAAGCTTTCTGTCGGACACCAGCCAGCGGTCTACGCTTAATGCTCTTATTATTATTATTATTGTATCCTTTAGTTCCTAGAGGAACATAGGACTTCAGCTGCGCACCTCCATTGCCTTCTGTTTTCTGACAACTTTTTCACCCGCTCCAGGTCTGTCCACATGCTTTCATCTCCTCCTCGCATGACCTCCTCCAAGTCACCCTTGCACTGACGACCAACTCGCCGCCTCCCTCTTAGGTTCCACTCGAGCCATGGCTTGTCTAGTGATGTCACCTAATGGTTTCCTCAGCGTATGGCCAATCCATCTCCATTTCTTTCTGCCTATTTGTTTCACAATCGGTTCCTGATTGGTTCGCTCCCAGAGATCGCTGTTGTTGATCTTTTCTGGCCGGCCATCTGATCTTGAGTCCTACTGAGCGAATACAGCTGTTAATGAAGGTCTGAAGTTTGTTTGAGATGCTCTTCATGACTCGCCAAGTCTCTGATCCGTATAGTAGAACTGACTGACTTTACACTGGAGTTGAAAATCCGGATCTTATTTTTGATCTTGAGTGTTGTTGACCTCCACACAGACTTAAGAGTAGTGAAAGCTTGTCTTGCTTTTCCGATTCTGGCTTTGATATCCTCGACAGTTCCGTCGGCCTGTAGTTGAAACGATGCCTCCCAGGTAGGTGTGTAGGTGAAGGAGTTTGCTTCTTTCAGGTTCCTCCCATTTATGCTAGCTGATTGTTGTCTGTTGTTGTTGTTGTCGTTGGCCAGGAACCTTCATCACCTCCGTTTTCTCTATGTCCACATAAAGTCCTATCTTTTCTGGATGCTTCTTCTGTCAACTTGTTGCTTTTCACTTGCATATCTTCCAGTTTATGGGAAATCAGACATATATCATCGGCGAAATCCAGATCCTCCAAGTTTTTGTGTGAGTCCATTTTATACCTTTTTCCTCATTGCCCGTCTTCTGTTGTATTAACCAGTCTACTGCAATCAGGAAGATCATTGGTGATAGTAGACAGCCTTGCCTCAATCCCGTCCTCACTTCGAAGGCTTCCGTAAGTTTCCTGTTGTGGATTACTTGGCATGCAGCATTGTCGTATAACTGTTTAATGAGATGTATAATTCAAGTGTTGGTTTGTAGGGATTTGATTGGTTTCAGGATTTAATAATGAGCTGACATTAGTTAGAGAACCATTGGAAAACCTGGGAATACTGGACAGCTGTTTCGTCCTAGTTTGGGGATCTTCAGCAGTACACACCCACCGAGATTCCAACCCAGGACCTTCCGGTTACAAGGCGAGCTCGTATACCATTAAGCCATTGGGACCCGATCCAATGGTCCTTGAATTCTAACTTCTGCCAATTCACGACATAGCGCGACCGCTAGCCAATGTCTTCGGCGAGTATTTGTCCTCACACCCGACCAGCTGCACCCTACTGGTCACTCACGATGTATAATTGTCGATGGGACCCCGTAGTAGCGAAGTAGTTGCCAAATGACCTCTCGATCGACGCTGTCGAAGGCCTTTTCAAAGTCGATGAAGTTGAGTGAGAGAGGTGACTGCCATTCCAAGCTTTGTTCAATGATGATCCGTAGAGTGGCGATTTGATCAATACATGATTTGTTTCCCCTGAATCCGGCCTGTTCCGGTCGAAGTTTTTCCTCCAGGGCTTGTTTGATTCTCTCCAGGATGATGCGACTTAGTATCTTGCTTGGAATGGACAGAAGCATAATTCCACGCCAGTTTTTACATTGACTTAAGTCTCCTTTCTTTGGTAGTTTGAATAAGTATCCGTTCTTCCAATCCTCGGGTACTTTGCCCTCTTTCCACACCTTCTCCAGCAGTGGTGTCATCAAGTCCGCTGTTGTCTCTGGGTCTATTTTCAAAGCGTCTGCTGGGATTCCATCTGGTCCTGGTGCTTTCCCAGCTTTTAGCATCTTGATTGCATTCAGGACTTCTGATTTCGTCGGGGGGTCAGTGTTCACTGGTAGTTCTGCTTCCGTTGTTGGTATTGTTGGGCGTGTTGTAGGTGGCGGACGATTTAGAAGTCTTTTGAAGTGTTCAGCTCAGTGTTTTCTCTGTTCCACCTCTTTGGTGATTGACTTTCCATTGTCGTCCTTTATTGGCTTAATCTGTGTCGAACTTTTGCCCGATAGGTGCCTAGTTGTTTGGTAGAGTGTGGCGAGGTCTCCTTTGCCTGCAGCTTGTTCTGCTTTACTTGCCATGGTTTCATAATATTTTCTTTTGTCTTCCTTGGCACTCTTCTTCACTCTTTTGTTCAGTGTATTGTAGCTTGCATTCAGCTCCTGTTTTTGTTGCTCGTCAGTGCACTGGATAATCTTTTCTTTCACTGTCCTTCTCTCTTCTATTAGTTTCCAAGTGTCCTTAGTGAGCCACTGTTTGTCCTGTCTCTTCTTTCTGCCTAGAACTTCTATGCAGGTTTGACTCCACACCGTTTTCAAGTTGTTCCAGTGCTTTTCCACGCTGACCTTTCCTCTGGTGTTGATTTGTGTCTTGGCTTTTTCCTTTATGCTTGCAATGAAGATGTCCTTTGTAGCCTGGTCCTTCAGCTTTTGAGTGTTGAACTTGGCTTGTGGTCTATCTGCAGCTCCTGTGTCCCTGAAAGCTTTTAATTTGATTTGGATTGTCCCTTGTACGAGATAGTGGTCTGAGCCAACGTCTGCTCCTCTTCTTGCTTTTGTGTCCAGTAGGCTGCGCCTCCACTTCCTTGAGAGCATTGAGATGAAGTCGATTTGGTTTTTGGTTTGCCCGTCTGGTGACACCCATGTAGCCTTGTGGATATCTTTGTGCTTGTATACACTGCCACCAATCACTAGTTCGTTGAAGGCGCAGAAGTCGGCGAAGAGTTCTCCGTTTTCATTCATTTCTCCTAGAGCTTCTCTACCCATGATGAGTTCCCTTCCTGTGTTGTCTGGTCCCAGTTTGGCGTTCATGTCTCCCATTAGTATTTTAATGTCGCCAGCTGGAGTATTGTCCATTGTTGCCTGTAGTTGTCTGTAGAATTCTTCTTTCTTTTCGAGGTCTGCGTTGTTTGTGGGTGCATAACATTGTATGATTGACACTTTCCTTCCTTTGGAGTTGAATCTGGCGGTCATTATCCTGGACGAGATCGCCTCCCATTGCATCAGGGCTTTCGTTGCCGTTGGTGAAATCATGATAGCCACGCCCTCGGTGTGCGTGTGGTTATCTTCTAAGTGACCGGAGTAGATCAC